TGAATCTCAAAATATTTTAATTGTACTCAATGAAAGGAAACTTGCATAGTTCCCTGTAAATTTAAATACTAATGAAATAATTATAGACATTATTTTATCAATAAATATTGAATTCTATAGCTAAAATGATGGGAAGATATTTTCCTTTCATGCACACCACAGACTTTATTCTTCTCAGACGGTTATTTTCCTCCAATGTTTTTAATGTCAAGTATACTTTAGTGCTTGTACCAGTTTACCTTTTGTGGGTTGATGTGGGAGTGTCATATATCAATCTGTTGATTTCATTGGTTAATTAAATAAAGAAACTGCTTGCCCTGATTGGTTAAAACATAGGTGGGAGGAGTAAACAGGAGGAATAGGAAGTGAGGTAAGACTCCTCAGACAGACGCGAGATAGCTCTGCTCTCAGAGACACACGCGATGAAGCTCCAACTCAGGATGGACGTAGGCTAGAATCTTCCCGGTAAGTGCACCTTGGGGTGCTTACACACATTACTAGAAATGGGCTTGTCCAGGTGCGAGAGTTAGCCAAGAAGAGGCTAGATATAATGGGCAAGCAGTGTTTAAAAGAATACAGTTTGTGTGTTGTTATTTCGGGCATGAGCTAGCAGGCGGCCGGGGTGCTGGGGACGCAGCCCCGCTGCTCCTATTTCAACAGTGGGTAAAGTACATCTTCAAAAAGCACATATTTTAAGTTATTCTATTGCATATGTATGCTGATAACATTTAATATTTTCAAGAATAAAGCCCTATCTCTACAGGCCTGCAGGAATTCATTACATAACCATTTGATGCCTTTTACTACTTTGATTCTTAGGTACAAAAAATGTCATGCTGAACAAATTGACTTGTTTTTCTTTTGCCTTTAGCCTGTACTTCTTACAGAAAATTAATTTAAGAGGCATTACATTTGTTTATGCTGTGGAATGTTTGTTTAATGATACAAAGATGTGTTGTATTATTTTATACTGCATTTGTTTAATGCTGTAAAGCTGTGTTACTTTGACTTCTAAAACACCTAATTGGTCTAATAAAGTGCTTAATGGCCAATAGCTAGGCAGAAGAGAGAAATATGCTTGCTTGCCAGGCAGAGAAAAAATAGGAGAGATCTAGGCTTGAAAGAGGAGGAGAGAGGAGCAAGAAAAGGAGTAGAAGAGGAGGATGCCAGGGGCCAGCTACCCAGCCACACAATCAGCCATGGAGTAAGAAGAGAAGATAGCCATATAGAATAAAGAAAGGTAAAAGGTCCAGATGCAAAACATAAAAAAAAGAGACTGGCTAATTTAAGTTAGACAAGCTGTCCAGAAACAAGTCAAGGTAAGTCTGGGAATAAAATAAGTAAAATAAGTTATTGTGTCTTTATTTAGGAGTTGGATGGCAGACACCCAAAGAGAAAAAGAGCACATGTACTTTTGGTGTCATATCTAATAATTAGTTTTCATTTGAATTTCAAATAGCTGTCTTGATGTGTCTTTCTTAATCTACTAGTGATGCGATGGTTTAAGTTTGGTTTAATACTTGCATTTCAGTTTTGAACCAATTTTGGTATTTTTACAAAAGTGTATCGTGTTCTATAAATAGAACATAAATATTATTAAGTGTAAAGTAAGAACATGCCTGATGAAGGAATTAAGAGACACTGTGAGTGTATTAAAGCATGATAGTTACTGAGATTCTCCAGAAATTCCTTCAGATTTAAAAAATACATTTTCTACTTTTGTCTTTTGACTATACACACATTGTGATTCTATGTATGCCAGTGTTTTATCCTTCCCCTAAAGCTCTTTTCCTAATTGAGAATAAAAGATGACAATTTCCTTTATTGCATTACATAATTTTTTTATTTAAATACATTTTTACATACAATATATTTTCATCATGCTTCCAGAAAATACAACATTGGTAGCTCAACATAAACTGTATATACAAAGATGTTGACTTTAGGAGTAATTATAAGCAAAATGCCTATTTTGTGTTTCGCCTATCATGAAAGCTTACCTTGTAAAATTTATGAAGCATTTAGTTGTCAAATCCTTCTATATTTTGATTCTTACCTACTATGCCTTTGTGCCATGCTTTCTTGCATTTAACTTGTTCTTACATAAAATATAACTTTCTATTTTTTATAGAGGTATCTCTTCAACTATCTTACATATTTCTCATAACCACAGAATTGGAATTATGGCTTCCTAGACAGTCAGTGAAGGTTGGGCCAGAGTAAACTCAAAAAAAGATCTTGATATTTAGATGTTGACCGGGAGATGTAAATAACTCATTTTTAAATAAATCACACCGATGCATGGTACACTCAATACTACATTATTTCCATGAAATAAAACTATGTTGGAATCACCAACTATTGAATTTTTTAAAACATGATGCAGAGAAACATTACAGAACTTTATTAGATAAGCATCTAATTCCCTAAAGAAGGTGTTAGGGATCTTGATGCAATGTGATATAATATAATATAATATAATATAATATAATATAATATAATATAATATGTATTATATTATTACTATAATATATTATACAATATGAACCTTATGAGATTAAAATAGGACATTTTGACACAGTGCTTTGTAAAGACACAAGTAGAAGAAGGTTTGAAAAAACAAAACTTGAGAAAAAAAAAACAAGTAACAGCAAAGAACCCAAAGAAAGTGAAAATGGCATACATAACATAAAAAGCCAATTACCATAAATAAATTTCATAACCCTCAAAATCACAGTCTTTTTACAGACACAAGACAGGCGTCCAAAAACTTAGAAAGCAATGCGGGAGGCGAGAAAGATGGATTCGTGGTTAAGAGAACTTGGTGCTATTGTGTTAGGCCTTGGTTAGGTTCTTATCACCCACACAAGACAACTCACAGTTATCTATAACTCCAGTTTCAAAGGATCCAACATAGTCTTATGGCCTCACAAGTCACTTGCACCTATCTGTTGCACATGCATGGACATTGGCCAACATGTACATGATTATAAAATAAACCTTTTATTTAAAAAAGGCTATTTAAGATATCAATAGAAGAATTTCTAAACAGCTTCTTTGAAGGCTATATTTTGAAACTTTGTTATTTTTCTAGTGCATCTGTTATTTACTGATTCATAAAATCATCCATACTTTTAATCCTATAATAATTGACATTTCCATTAGATCACATAAATAAATGATAGAAATTGTCTAATAAAAATTATAAAACAGGGCGAATTCAGAAGTAAAAAGCCTAGCATTATATTTCTCTTCCAGAATTAAGAGAAATACTCTAAAGTAGAAAAATGGATTTAGTCTTACATAATATAGAAAAATAGATGTACATAATGAGCTTTTATACACATTTTAGTTGAGATATTAATGAATCCAGTGCAATATTAGCCTCCTCTTAAGAGGCTGCTTACGCCTTTAATCCCAGCACTTGGGAGGCAGAGGCAGGCGGATTTCTGTGACTTTGAGACTAGCCTGATCTACAAGAGCTAGTTCCAGGACAGGTTCCAAAACCACAGAGAAACCCTGTCTCGAAAAAGGAAAAAAAAAAAAAAGAATGAAGACAAAACTGCATTCCTAATGCTAATTTCAATCACCTTCCGAATAATAGCGATTGATAAACAACAAAAACCTACTTTCATGAAAATGGCAGTAAAAAGAAGGTTGGATGGAGGTGAGTCGCCATGAATAATTGTAGTACTCACAGAAATGGCATCAGCTTCTGTTTCTCACTCACCATCCTCATTCATTAAGAAACAATTATCACTTTGTACTTCTGATAAAATACTTAAAATTCTTCCACAGAACTACTGAGATAACCTCTAGACTTGCAAGCAGTGTGATATTCATTCCAGCAATGCTACCAAGGAAGGATGAATGCTAGTCTCCAATTTGGCCTGAAAGCTTAAGTTATAATATACTTTACATGTATCATATCTCATTCTAAAATTCACTTCTCCCATTCTCCACTAAATAGTTTTCTTCCATTGCTATCTGAATTTAGGCAGATTAGTTTATACCATAAGCATGTAGAAATACCTGCATATTAGATATCAAAATAATCTCTGAGACCACAGCAGGTCAAAATGGATGGAGGATTTATTTATTTATTTTTGGTTTTTCGAGACAGGGTTTCTCTGTGGTTTTGGAGCCTGTCCTGGAACTAGCTCTTGTAGACCGGGCTGGTCTCGAACTCACAGAGATCCGCCTGCCTCTGCCTCCCGAGTGCTGGGATTAAAGGTGTGCACCACCACTGCCCGGCTAAAATTCTTGTATTTAAAAATCTGATGTAGATGTGAAGGTCATCACATAGTTGCTCGGTTTACTGATGGCACTGAACATTGATGACTAACCTGATTTTTGACCCTGTGGTCATAGGGTCAAGTGAAAGCTAGTTGAGGTCACTAATAAGAACTATTGTTCAAATAAAGCTTTCTGTTACTAATTTTCTCTAAGAAAGCCAAAAGCAGAATGTTGAAAGAAATAACATTTTGATGATATTCAGAGAAACTGCTTTATAAAGCATTCAGAGGATTTACTTTAAACTTTGGCTTTTATTTATAATGTACTTTAAAATATATAGTATATGTCAGCCAGGGCTCAGGAGATCAACTTGATATGGAAATTTGCACTCATAGCCCACCATGCCCGCCCCGCCCTGTTCCACCCCGCCTACCCTGCCCCACCCTGCACTGCCCATCCTGCCCCACCCTGCACCGCCCCATCTCACCCAGCCCCGCCCCATCCCGCCCCACCCCGCCCTACCCCGCCCAGCCCTGCCCCTCCCATCTCCAAGCCCTAGCGCTGGAATGATGTCATAATCAGGCACCAACACTCATTTCTGGTGCTGCCTCAGAGCCTCCTGAGGCCTACCTGCTGCGCTCCCCTGAGGTTCTTCCTCTCTGCTGAGGTACTCTGGGACAGGGGTCCTTTCCCTTCCTACCCTCCCTGCCCCTCTAAGCAGGTACAGGGCCTGCTGATACTGTCCTGGTGTTCGAGGGCCCACCATGGCTGAAGGGGCTTGGCAAGTGCGTCAGAACTCTGATAGCAACTGTGAGGACGCGGTAAACAACCATATCCAGCTGCAGCTCCATGCCTCATATGTATATTTGTCTATGGCCTTGTTCTTTGATCGTGATGACGTGGCCCTGGGGAACTTCAAGCGTTTCTTTCTGAGCAAGTCACACAGCCGCAAGGCCAGTGCCCAGATGTTCATGTTTCTGCAGAATAAGCGTGGTGGCCTTGTTTTCTTCCCGAGCATCTCGACACCAGAGCGTGACAGTTGGCAGGGGGGCCTCCAGGCCATGGAGTTTGCCTTCCACATGGAGATGAACATCAACCAGAGCCTGCTGAACCTCCACAAGCTGGCCAAGGAGAAACGTGTTGCTGACCTCTGCTACTTCCTGGAGCATCACTGTCTGGATGAGCAGGCCCGTGTTCTCCACAAGATGAGTGGCTACCTGGCCAACCTGCGCCAGATGGGGACCCCAGAGAACGGCTTCGCTGACTATCCCTTTGACGAGCAGGTGGACTGAACTGGGAGGTTCCCACTGCCATGGGATCTTTCTCTGGCCGTTAGACCTGATTTTGAAGAAAGTTCACGAGTTTTCTTTCTGTGGTTACAATAAATTCTTTAATGTTTCAAAGCAAAATGAAGTTTCAAGATTACTCTTTTTGCATAGCTTACCTTTTAAGAACAGGGGTTGATTCACTGTTCCTTCCCCTTAAAGCTTGGACCTTTAAGGGTTGTAAAGACAATCTCTATGGCTCTTTTAAACACCATATTCTATTTCTGTTATCTTTCATGGATGTATGAGTTTATAGTGCTCTCATTTGTGATGTGTCTCGGGTTTTGGGCCCAGTTTCAGTGCTTTGAAAAAGTGTTACCATCTGATCACCCTGGAACAGAACTGAAGGAAATAGTTTGAAACAGAAATTATAAAAATAGACTCTAAAGCTGTGTGTTTCATCTTAATGATAAGGTACTTAAGGTTCTTGTCTTATTATAAATCAGTTCTGTCTAAAGCATTTGTGAAAAAAAAAGGAAGGGCGGAAGGAATTTCAAAGTTTTGTAAAGACTTTAAGCTTAACATAATATGTAAATGTCTTAATTTCTTGATTTCTAAGTAGCCTAGAGTAGGTTCTGGAAAAGGGTATGGGACAAAAACTTTGTTGACTGTGTCAGGTTAGAATACAGAGATAGTAACAGTGAGGGTTAGCTTGGATACTCCACTTCCATATTGGAGAGGAGAGAAGTCGGTTACTCACAGTGTCTTCACTACAATTCTATATCTACATTTTTCCAAACATATTTCTAAACTTGAAATATACCTACACTACCCCAAACCCCACATTAGTAACTAAGATTGGCTGACATCACAATACCCTAGGGTGAGGTCATGTTTATGAGAGTGACTATAAAGGAATCAAAATAACCTTAGTGGGCTAAGCTGGCTAATCAAAATATTAGCGGGCTAGAGAAAGTTCAAGATGGGAGTATAGTTCAGACTTAACGGAATTTTGGTATACACGTCATAGTCTCATTAAAGGCCTAGAAGCAGGGTATTGTTGATACAGCCTACTCCAGGTTGCAAAATTGGTGCACCCCGTAGCTTCTCATTCCAAAACGTAGGAAGCCAGAAAAGAGAAATCAGTGAAGTAACCCTAGCCTGAGGCTGAAGGCTTGGAAACCTGTAATGAAGGATTCAAAGGCACAAGAATCTCTAATTATGAACCACAACCAAGGCTGGGGCAACAAATTGCACCACCTCAGAAATCTCCAGTAAATATATTTGCTTATTGTCTCCTCTGGGTTTTTGTTTCACAGCGTCCTAGCCTAATTTTTGTCTCTTTCCATCGTTAGTGTGGGCCTTTCCTTCCCAGTTTATTCATCTCCATAAAAGTCTGCCTTGGGAACAATTTAGTGTGTTTTGCAGGCATTTCTCACACTGACAACCAAGATTAACCATAGTCAGGACACTCGTCTGAGTATTTGAGAAACCAGCATGGGTCAAAATGCAGTGGAAGCCACAGGAGTGCAGAGAAGTATGCATTTAGCATAGACTTTGAGCAAGTCAACACAATTTACTCAAGAATGGATAGTGGGAATATTGTCGGTTCTACAGGCTGACCTTGATTCCATTGCGTAATAAGAACTGAGTTTAGGGTGATGGTGCTAGGATGTAAGTTTGGTATTTGGTTTACACATTGAAGTTAAAATATAGTACAGGAGGCCTGAAACACTAAACAAGGTTTTCTCAGTTTACAGGAGTGCAGGCAGATTGTCATGTTTGGAAACACACATTGTTCTGTCGCTGGTGTGAAAATCAAGGACAACTTCACCAAAAGGAGCACATTGGGAGTGTATGAGTGAAGGTTATGAGAGAATGACTGCTATGGCAAAAAGTGGGCCTCCAAATGGCAGTGCTGCCAACAGTGTTCTAACATGGTATCCTGGATCCAGTCCAGGCCAGGTTCTTAACAGGTAAACAGAAACTTTAACTCAGAATTCCTCAAATAAACAAAACCAAAAAAAAAAAAAAACAAAAAACAAAAAAACCCACTTTCTTACTTAGAAATACTATTGCTATAATGCAACACCTTGACCAAAGCAACTTAGGGAGAATATGATCTATTTGGCTTATGCTAGCTCATCACTGTTAATCACAGAAGGAAGTCAAGACAGAAGCTCAAACAGGACAAGAAGCTGCAGACAACTGATTCAGAGGTCATGGAAGAATGCTGCTTACTGGGTTGATTTTCAATGATTTCTCAGTCTGTGTTTTTATAGAAACAAAACCACTATTCCAGGAGGTGGTGCTACACACAATGGGCTAGACCCTCTGTATCAATCACTAATTAAGAAACCTCCCTACAGAGTTGCCTACATCCTGATCTAATGGAGTCTTTTTCTTAATTTAGATTCCCTCGTCTCAGATGACTCTAGCCTGTGCTAAGTGAACATAAATCAGCACAATGATTCCTTGTCAGCTTGACACACAAATCACTATCAAACCACAACCTCTTGCTTGTTCATCCCCAGGGTCTCATACACACACCATACAAAATATTCCAAGTTTTAATAGGCCCACAGTTGACCCAGTCTCATCCCAAACTCTGCATCAGAACACCCTTGGCAGGTTTCCCTGTTCCTTGCTTCTATTTCCTGTGGATTCCACACATCTTCCCTTTCTAACTTCCATCCCACCACTTTTTGCCTTTTCCCAACCTTCAACAACAGCAGACACCCCCTGATAAACCACAGGTGTTTCCTGAGAAAGTTGGGAATTGATATACCTCAAGACTCAGCTATACCACTCTTGTGCATATACCCCAAAGACATTTCATCCACCCACAAAGACACATGCTCAAACATCTTCATTGCTGCTTTATTCATATATCCAGAAACTGGAAAAAAACCCAGATGTCCCTAAACAGAAGAATGCATAAAGAAAATGTGGTATATTTACACAATGAACCATTACAAAACTGTTTAAAAAAATGACATCAGGAAATTTTCAGGTAAATGGATGGAACTAGAAAAGAAATAATCCTTAGTGAGGTAACCCAGACCCAGAAAGATAAACATGGTATGCATTCACTTATAAAGGGATATTAGTCACTAAATAAACTATAACCAGGCTTCAATCTGTAGCTCCAGAGAGGTTAGGAAAAGAGGAAGGTCTAGGGGGAATGCAGGGATCTCCCTGAGAAGGGAAATAGAATAGATTTTACTGGTGAGCTGCACTGAGTGGGGACAGAAGCAGTATGGATGTGGAGATGGAGGGAAAGAGTTCAGGGAGAGATGGCTGGAATTGGGAAATATTTCAGAGTGGTAGTGTAGGAACCTAGTACAGTGGTGACTTCCTAGAACCTATGAAGGTGAACCTGATGAGGACTTAGTAACGTGGATATGGAGTCTCAACTGGCCATCTCTTGTAGTCCAGTCATACAAGGCTTCCAAAGGAGGGACTGGGTTGTATTCAATTGAGTTGTTGGCCATGCGGTGGGGGCAGCGGGTGTGTGTGGGGGGGGAGGTCTCACAGAACTCCTCAAACAACACAGGCTAATGCTAAGACAAAAAGGGTTGTTCTCTGCAAACTGACAATGGGGTCCTATCAACAGGGACAATCTCCATAGATCTTACTGAATAGGAAGAGGAAAAGCTGGTGATTACATGGAGCCTTCATGCTTAAATTCTAGTCTCTTTGGTGTGGAAAGATACTCTGTATGCTCTCTATGAAAAGAGAAATGAAGACAACAATCCAGCTTCCAAACCTTTGACCTCCAACATGCCCTGCCTGAGAAAAGTGCTAGGGCAATGGTGACACAAAACTTGTGGGAGTAGACAACCAATGTCTGATTTTCCTTAAGATCCACTCCATGAGAAGGAATCTGTATCTGGCACTGCCTGAGTAACAAAGAACCAGAGACCAGATAGCCCAGAGTCCTAGGGTAAAATGAAACACAACTGGTGTAAAATATCGAGAAAATGATGCCTAATGATATTCTGCTATACCCATAAATCAGTGCCTTATCCAGTCATCATCAGAGAGGCTTCCTCCAGCATCAGATGGGAACTGATGTAGAAACCCACAGCCAGAAATCTTAGAGAGAGAGAGAGAGAGAGAGAGAGAGAGAGAGAGAGAGAGAGAGTCTAATATACTGGAATATTACTTTAACTAGGCAAAGATGTGTTACATTTGTTTATGTTACATTTGTTTAACAATGTAAGTTGGGTAATAATTATGCAAAGATGTTTTGCTTTGCATGCCTAAGGTACCTGATTGGTCTAATAATGAGCTCACCATCTAGTAGCTAGGTAGATGGGGAAGGCAGGCAGAGATAATAAGTAAGAGGAGATACCTAGGCTTGAGAAAGACGAGAAAAGAAAAAGAGAGAAGAGAATGAGGGAGCTATAGTGGGAGATTCCCAGGGCCAGCCAAAAAGCAGCCAACAAGCAGACACAGCATAGGCCATACAGAAATGAAGGTAAAGAGCCCTGAGGCAAAAGATCGATAAAGAGAAACAGGTTAATTTAAGTTAAAAGAGCTAGCCAGAAATGAGTCTAAGCTAGGCTGAGCATTCAAACCTAATAAGAAATCACAGTGTCATGATTTGGGAACTAGATGATGGTCCAAAAGAAAAAAAGGAGTTCTCCAACAAATCCTTCTCCTCAGAGGTCAGAAAATCCAGGCAGAATGATTGGAGCATCATAGAGGATAGAGGACACCAGAACGAGGCCCCTTGAAACGACTAAGCAAGACACATATGAGCTCACAGAGACTGAAGTAGCAAACACAGGGCCTACATGGATCTGAATCAGGTCCCCTGCTTATATATTATAGCTATTATCTTATTATTTTTATGGGACTCCTGACCATGAGAATAAGTGGATCTCTGATTCGTGTGCCTGCCTGTTCTTGGCGCTCTTTTCCTCCTGTTGGTTTGCCATGTGCAACATTGATATGATAGTCTTTATTATATATTATTTTTTCATGTTGAGTTTGTCTCTTATAAAGTGGTCTTTTCTAGT